CCTCTCCCGGTACCGCTCCTCCAGCCGCCAGATGTGCGCGGACACGTTCTGCAGGCGCTCCGTCTGGAAGTTCAGCTGCTTGCGGTTGGCGAGGTGATGCTCCTGCAGGAATTCCATTTCCCGTTTCAGGAACGGGACGTCCTCCGTGCCTCCGGCGGGGCACTGCACGGAGTTGGACCGCGGGGAGTCCGCGGCGACGTACGGCGGGATGAAGGTGCAGATGCACCGCTTGTCCTCAAAAACGTCCCGCTGTTCGGATCTCGTCGGAGACCGTCGGGCGTAGCAGACCGAGGAGCCCGGTCAGACCCGTGGCGAAAAGGAGGGACGTACGAAACACCTGCATGGTGGCTTTCTACTTCTGTCTGTCTCAGTGTCGATACGAAAATTAAATCTTCAAGTCCGGACTCCAGCCGACGTCACTGGTGGGGTAACCTTCACAAAGAAATTACAATTCTAATGAGATTGAGTCTTACATGTCCGGACACGTCGTTACTATGGATACCAAACGTGCTAACACTCACAACTGACAGTCTTGTAGAAGTTCGGAATGTATTCCAATAGTCCTGACTGTCCCGGCGACAATAACAGTCTTTCACCACACAACTTAACTTACAAAACAGCTTAAGTTGGAAAAGCAGCTCCAGATTTGAGTCGAACTTCTAAATTCCTCCGACACGCGAAGCCACAGTTAAATCTGGGTTGGGTACTATTCCTTGCAGCCGTTTTCACTCCTCATTCGTTACCTCCCGTCCTGATAAGATTGTATCGTCTCTCAGTGCCTTCCAGTTGTGAAAGACTTCCTATTAAACTGAAATCATACCCACACGGCCCATGATGTCCCCGCTGTGATACAATTGGTGATTCAGGGTTCTTACACTCGTTAACGGGGTCTACAGGTTACCCAAATAAAGACCAGTGTCCGTGCTAAAGACTTGAGCACTCCCACGGGACGACAGGGATTTACTAATAACGTTTAAAGGCTGTGAAGTTTCGTGCACAAAATCAGATAAAACTCAAAACGTCAAAAGATACACCGCGCGAAAGTTGGAGAATGCCTCTTGGCGCCAAAAACTTGATACGAAATGTATACAAAACGGAAACTTCACTGAGTGTTGAACTTGAAAAAGGAGTCACAAACCTTGGAGTTGAAGTTTATCAACTTTATGTCAACCGAGAGTCCGAAGTGTCTACAGGCTGTCTTTCCGTTCAAGGTGGCCGTGAAACGTAAAACCACACGCGAGGAGGAAACTTGTGTCTCAGAGATAAGCTGAACGACGAAGGAAGTCCAAATCAGACGACATAAACACAGTCAGCACCTCGTTCCAGGACAGCCAGAGAAAAATCAATCCCGTACCCAGCACGGCGGGGTGTTGACGTTGAAACGCTCGGAGTTGATTGATGGAAACTCGTGAACCGAGGACTTAAACTTAGAATCCTGTCCTATGCACGTCCAGGCGAGAGTGAAAAGTTTTTGTGCCAGCCCCGGCAGTGCGCTGAGGCTAAATGGTCAGGACAGACATTCGGTCGCACGCGTTTACCCCGCCTCCACACTCTTCAGATCAATTGACTCCTGTGTAAGTCATACAAACAGTCGGTAGACTGTGTCTCTGGTGCCGGGATAGTCGCGTCTTTGTCCCTGGCCGTCGGTTGAACGTAACACGACTCGGAGAAGTGCGCGTTGAAGACTCAACAAAAATGTCTCGAAGTGACCACACGGACGGTATCAGGCACGCCCGCACACCTCCCCTGGCCCGTCCCCAA